ATATATATATATGAGACCCAGTACTTCTCTTGCTGGATGTTTAATTGTGTCAGCTTTAAAATACGTATTTTAGTGGAGAAAAAAATAATTTAAGGTGGTTTAAATAGAAAAAAAAAATGACCTCAATCATTGTTCATTTAGAAATACATTTTCAAAACCAGGTTTCATAATTCAAAATTAATTATTCGATATCAATATAGAGTTTTTGTAGTTATGTATTCTATATGGTTACCAATCCTATCTTGAATAAAATTTTATATTCTATTATTAAATACCAAGGCTCCTTTTTCACTGTCTTTCTTCTAACAAAGATAGTCCAGATTTTTGAAAATGCTTAAACGTATATATACACGTTTATATATACGTGAAATAAATATATATCTCTCATTGAATTTTGGAAGCCTGAGGGAAATTAAATTCTCAAATGTAACTTGTCCTCATGGTTAAAGCTTTTTTTTCAGTTATGTAAAAAACATTACATTGTTTTTCATAGATTAATGAAGTAAGGCACTGTCAATGAGTGTGCAATATGTAAACACTCAGGAGGTTGTCAATATGATCTGTATATTTTTTTCACTGGCCTCTTTGAGACAAACTTCTGTGACTAGAATAAGTATGTATTTTACACAATTATTAATTATGAATGGAATATCTCACTATGGGAACTTATCAGAATTATAAATGCAATCATCTACTCATGAATGTGTAAGTGTATATTGGTCACTGAATGGGAGAAAATCATAAACGAGCACATTTGGGGCATATTAGTTATTCCGTAGATATCACTGCAGAAGTGAACTGTGTCAGCATCATGAAGTAACTTCTTAGAGAATGATCATCAAAAAGGTTTGTGTTGCCCTGGCTGGTATAGCTGAATTCGTTGGGGCTTCATCCTCTGCACTGAAATGTGGCAGGTTTGATTCCTGGTCAGGGCACATTTCTAGGTCTTGGGTTCCATCCCCAGTCAGGAAGGCAACTGATCGATGTTTCTCTCTCTCTCTCTCTTTCTCTTTCCCTCCCTTCCTCTCTTTAAAATCAGTGAAAAATAAACAAACATTCCCCTTCCCACCGAATACATATTCTTGGATGAGGATTTTGAAAAGAAAAAGTATTTATTCCTTGATGCTATGAGGTGTGCAAATCGGTTAGCTCTAAAACATGGCTCTAAATTCTTGTGAAAATTAACAAATTAAAAGTACTCAGAGATCTTTGATTAAGCAAGAAATTTAATTAAGAATATTGATATCTATAAAACTTTTTATTTGCTTTTAAAAAAATTCAATAAGTATTCACTTTGCTACATCTATATATATAAAAGACTAATAAGCAAAGTTCCTCCCGGGAGTTCGACCAACCGGGAGTTCAATCACTTGCTATGATGTGTGCTGACCACCAGGGGGTGGTGCAGAACAAAAGAAGGCCCTGACCGGCAGCCAGCAGCCAGGGGAGGGAGGCCCCAGCTGGCAGTCAGCAGCCGCTAGGGACCCTACCCATGCACAGATTTCATGCACTGGACCTCTAGTTTTAGAATAATTAAGTTTGTACTATTTTATTTTGATAGGATGCACTTTTTTAAATGGTTGTAATTAAATATGGTCAAGAAATTGTTGAGAATCTACTACTTACCAGATATATGTCAAAGAAACATTTTTGTTTAGTCTTATAAATTCGAGTGTGTGAACTGGAGTCATTAGAGTCCTATTCTTCCTTTGAGGGTAAGTGAATGAGAATCTCTGCCCCAGTGCTTAAACTTTACATTTAGCCCAACTAATTAGATCTTGTCAAGATAGAAATTTCAGAGACCATGATATAACCTTAACATCTTATTTTATGTGAAAAGAAACTGGCTAGAGCAAGCCTCAACATTGCATAAAATAAATTGTGCTTTTATTTGTAAGAATCACTGAAGTTTCTAAATGTTATGTTTTGACCATTTAATACAATGTCACAATCTTCTGAGACCTCCATGGGCTTGCCAACTGTCACTTACCAGTGATAATTAGGAGCAGAGCTACACAGATAAATGAAATTCACAGGGATTCAGGTAGCCCCCTTTTCCACAAGATTCAATTCTCTTCACTATAAAACCCTTCCTGGAGCTGCCAAGTCTTAACAGCATTTGACAGAATTGAGTTTAACCTTCTCTTTCTTGCCTTGCCATTCTTCTGGAGGGAGTTATTATTGAGAGGGAAAAAATAGTGGCCAGAGCAAAAAGGCTGGCAACATTTCAGGGTTGACATGCCAAGTGTTCTTTGACTAAATTGCTTCTAGAAAGAGGAGGGAGAAATAACTCACTCAAAAGTTCTTGTCGTCTTTCTCTTAAGCCTCAGAACACCACTGAGTAAAGCAGTAAGAGTAAATCAAATGGCTCCGGGCATTTTCATTCATCCATTTTTTGTTGTTGTTGTTCATTCATTCATTAACTCCTTCACTCTCATGTACTTACAATCAATCAATGTGTACTGAATTTGCACAGTTCTCTACATATAATTGTAAACATTGGGGATGCACAAACAATTAATAACAGTTTTTTGTTGTTGTTGTTGTTGATTTTTGGTACTGGAATGAATCCATTGGAGCATATCGGTATGTAAACTGACAATAGGATATCAATTAGGTACTGGAAAAAATGTTTGATAAGGGAATATCAGATTTAAAGCAATTATGATCTGTTACCCCAGTAAGTAGCTACACTGAAGCAATTGTCATTCGACAACAAAATTAGAATTTGCCAAAATATGTTCTGTGCCGTGTTCAGACTAATGCTAGTATGTGTTATGAATAAAAGAGTTCTCTGGCAATACAAGCATGGAAAATAGTATAATGCTAGGTAGGTAAAAGTAGGTTTACAGTTGTGAGTATACAAAACACAGAATTTTATTTTAGTATTATTATTTATTAATTAATTATTTCATATAAACAACTATAAACCTACTTTTGCCCTGCCTACCCTGTATTTAAAAGTAAATAGGATAATTTACTGCAAAGCTTAATATATCACAAGAGCCTCCCTCTGGCCAGCCGCAGGCACCCAGGACCTGGGCCAGCTTCACCCGGGCCGGCCTCAGACGCAGGGGAATGTGGGTGGGCGGCCTTGCCAGGGGCTGTGGCCATAGGTGCCCAGGACCGCAGGGCAGGCAGCTTGTCCCTCTCCCAGGCCACAGGCACAGGCGCAGCTGCTGGCGCCCGGGACCACAGGGAGGGCAGCTTATCCTTCTCCCAGGCCACAGGCGCAGGTGCAGCTGCTGGCATCCAGGACAATGGGGTGTGCGGCTTGTCCCTATCCTGGGCCGCAGCCCCAGCTGCAGGTGCCCAGGACTGCGGGGTGGGTGGCTTCTCCCTCTTCCAAGCCGCAGCCTGGCTGGTCCCCATTCCTCTCTCGTGAGCTCATTTGTGCCTGGCTGGTCCCCATTCCTCTCTCTGCAGTGTTGAATGTCTGAGCTGTTATGGCATTAAGGCATGAGGGCATGATGACATTTGCATATTAGCTCTTTATTACATAGGACTAGAGGCCCGGTGCACAAAAATTTGTGCACTCGGGGGGAGAAGAGGGGGGTCCCTCAGCCCGGCCTGTGCCCTCTCACAGTCTGGGACCCCTCAGGAGATAACGACCTGCTGGCTTAGGCCTGCTCCCGGGTGGCAGAGGGCAGGCCCAATCCCTAGGTGCAGCCCCTGGTTGGGCTCAGAGCAGGGCTGATTGGGGAGTTGGGGC